TGGAATTTTGGTATAGGAAACTCTTGGAAAGTGGTCTGTTGGGAGAGAAAAACAATCTTTTAAAACAGATCATAAAGAAACAGGCTTCATGACTGTACAATGGGTTTCCCTGTTCCAGGACATCTGATGGCAGGATTTGAGTTTAGGAGTGATTGAACTTACTGGTTCCACTATCAGAAAGGTATCAAGTATTTAAAAGTCAAGGAGTTCAAAGTGGACCTACAAATGTCACTAAAATTGGGGAAGCAAGAAATATATCCATAATTCTCAAAATCTGCCACTAGGAGGATCACGAAGGGGCCAGAAAGATAACATTAAAATGAAAAAGAATGTTGTTATAATGAGAATGTGCAACAGATTGTACTGGCTCAGGATTATATCCATCTAGTGATAGGTTTTGGAATTAAAGCTCTGATCGTTTGGGTTCAGTTACTATATTTTTTTACCTTCTCAGTAGGAAAATTAACTGCCATTATAGACACCAGGTGAGCCAACCGTGTTAACACAGTACCTCGACTGCTACCATCAGTCTTATTTGCTCGTTCGATCTGTGACTGGTCTTTATCCACCCAGTACAAGTATTCACCATGCACAGCTAAGCCTGACACAAGAACCAGACCTGTTCTCACCAACACTTTCCTGCAAAGAGAGAAACTCTGTCATCTGCATGATTAAATCATCCCACCTAATTTATCTACAATGCAAAATGCTGACCACGAGAAACTCAAAATGCTCCTTCTGAATTCCATTCATTTAACAACCTTCATCACCTGCACAAAAGGTATACTGGCAAACTGGCACACAGCTCCAGGGTGAAATCAATCATGATACATGCCCATCTTGCTTACATTTAATAACAGGTTTACACTTTTAAATGCAAAATTGAACATGCATCTCACATAACACATGCTTCCATCTCAGACGTTGGAAATTAAATGAGCTATATGAGCTTAATATTTCATGAAGATGCCACGCAGCCCCCAGAAGGTAGAACTCTCCATAACCACTGCTGTGACAACCTCAAATCCCTATATTCATGTTTCTGTCAGCGTCTTTAAAACAAGAACGATGGAAGTGCCCTGGCTTCATTATAGCCCTGATTACCACAGGTTACAAATTGTTCAAATGACAGGATTAGTAGGTGGGATTAATCTCACTGTGCTGCGAATAAAAAAATATGATCTCGTTAAGGATTACATGAGAACTACGCATCCTTTTATAAAGATACTATACAAATTCCCACACCACGCATTTAACCTGTAAGCTACTCCTATGTACAGTATGACAATGGATGCAAACACTGATTATGTTTCGTGGCCACAATTCAAGTAACCTTAAAACATTCAATATACGCTCATGTTCTACAATGTCACATAGATTTCGCATACCTTTCTTTTCCATCCAAATTTGATGACTCAATTTGATTAGGCTGGGCCCAAAATAACAGGTCTGCCACCCTATCAACTGCTAATGCAACCAGATTCTCTAAGTGCGATGCAATGATCACACGTGATTTCCCATCCATGTTAGCCCGTATGATCTGCGGTACCGACCCAACATCCGTCCAGAACATTAACCTGAAAATGCAAGGTAAATAAAAAAGAAGAAATATCAGTTCATGAACAAGAAATGACTGTGAGAGACAGGAGATGCAAAGATAATACTGAAATGCATTTCTATATGTAATA